TGGGGTGGGTGGGTGGGTTCAGCCCTCCTTTCCCCACCATCTCCCGGCTCCTTCCATATGACCCAGTAAGTCTGTAGGTTACACCTGTCCTTCCCCATGGGACAGTCTTAAGCTTTCCCATCCCCTCTGGGGCTGGTTCTGCTAGGGGAAGCCAAGCATTGAATGAACATGGGTGGTGGTTCCTTCTAGTTCATTTAGAGTGACAGGCCCATCTTCGGCTGCCTTTTCTCTGTAGACGAAGGTCGCCATAGTTTTCCCCAGCCCCCACTGTGAGTCAGTGGTTTTCCTGTTTAGATCCTGATGTGAGGGATCACAGGCAAGCCAGCCCAGATTTACCTTGTAATGATATCTCCATGTTACATGACCCCATATTCATATATTTTGGGCCACCCTTTTTTTCTACTACCTTGTGAAGGTAGTAGGAATCTTCTAGGTCCTTCTGCCCTGGTCCCCGGGGTGAATATGTTGCCCCCTTTAGTTCCCATGATGGTGCTGTGGGTTCTGCTCCCTGATCATGATGAATTTCTGAAAAGCATGAGAGTGGGTTTTCACTTTTTTTTTTTTTTGCCAAAATAAAGAAGATTCTCATGTTTCTATCTCACTGTGAAAACATGTGACTCTTTCAGGGAAACATCTGCTTATGAAAGAGGAAGAGATACCTGAACGTGGAACATTCTATTTGTCTTCTGGTAAAATAGCTTGTTAACCACAGAAGCTGATAATGTAATGCATCCCTTTGCCTTCTTTCTCAGGTTAATATACAAAACTAGCAAAACCAAACATATTTTTTAAGTGACACAGCACTCAAATAAGGATTCCTGGGAACTCGCTCTGTGAAAGGATGAGACAATTTCCCAGTCTGAGGACAATTGAAATAGTTATTTTAAAAAAAGTTGAAATCTGTAATATAGATCTGCTCAGTTCAAAGCAAATCAGCACTTTTCTTTTTTCTTTAATCATCCTACTATTACCAACTTAACATACGTTATTTGTTGATTGATTTGAAGTGATTTAAGCAGCTCAATTCCAGAGTGTCTCTGAGCAACTTACACTATAAAGAATAGAAAAGACAATAGTAAACTGAAGAACAGACATGTCTGGACACATGTGGCTTTAACAGCAGCTTTATGTGCAGCAGAGAAGGGATCATGCTGACTCCATGCAGTGAAACAGCTCACTTGTTTTTGCAGACCATATGAATGGGAGACTCTTGTTATATTTTTCTCTGTCAATAACCACGAGAAAATGTGTATCTCATTGCATAGTAAAATATTTCCACTAATGACCGCTCTGTGTCGGCCTCTACTGAGGTGTCTGGATTACCCCTCATGCCATGATTATGAGGCTTCCTCCACTCCAGCCAGCCCCAAATTAGTGTCATTCAGAGGTGTCTGACTACAGCCTTCCCAAATTCCTACCTGATTAGTATTAATTGGTAAGAACAGACTACTCTCTCATCTGCAGATGCACTTGTGCGAGCATTAACTTCAGAAAATAGCTGTCACCATATAATCACTGGTGGAATTTTTACAATTCTGTAACACGGTCTAGAAAAGTAACAAAATGCCAAACACATCAACAGATCACGTTCATATAGCTTAGTGGCAGAAGCTCTGAGCATCTTTAACAAATGGCATAAATCTTAGCACTTCTGACAGCCATGATCTGCATTTGGAAAAATTCTTTACATTTCCTTCATCCCCCACATATCAAGTTCTTTGCAGGTGAACATCTTAAGCAATGGAAGTATTTCCCTAAACAATTTGTAAGCACTGCTGGGGAAATGTGTACAAGGTGGTTACTACGATAAATAAAAGCTTGGTCGTTGAAGCAACCACAAAATTTCCTTCCTCTGCAGCTGAGCTATTTGAATTCATTCCAATTGTCATCAAGCTTTCAATCCTGCACTGAATGTTGGAATAAATACAATATCCAGGGAACACATCATAGCAGGACTATACATGCTTAAGCTGTGGAAAGTCTTGGGTTCAGCTTCCTGCATCTTCACCTGAAAGAGCTGGAAATAACTCTGGTCCTTTGGAAAGCTGCTGCTGTTACCCAACACCAAGAGACAACATTGTCCCTGGTGGATCCATTACCTGAGTTGGCGAAAGGAAATACAAAGTGTTCTTTCATGGGTGAGAAGGATGAGAGTGATGAGGGGAAGGCAGAAAATAATGCTAAGTTACAAAGTTGTGCATTTTCATATACTTGTCTTTTTATTCCAGCATAGACAAGATTTATGTATTTCAGCACAGATTTATGCATTTATTCACTTGACTCCATTTATGTGGCTGCCCCCTTGCCCAGGTCAGGGGATGGGAATATACTTTTTCAAAGATAGATAGATAAATATGGCAAAAATCAATAAATCAGCTACAAGCCCCCAAGCCAAACTTTTCCCTAGTAAAGTCTTCATTCCTAGGGCCTTTTGATATAGGACAAAGCCCTCTTACCTTTTAATTGACTCTCAGGCGCCATCCTTTCTTCTTAAGCATGCACCAACCCCACCAATTTGTCTATTTCAGCCATTTTTCCGCTTTAACCCTGCCCGTGGCTGCCCCTTCCACCCCCCCCCCCGCGAAATAGGCATGCCCCCATTCCTCCCTCAAAAGAACCGGGGCCCTCGGCGCCTCCCACCACCCTCAAGTCAAACTCAACCCCAACGCTGGGGCCGTTCGGCCCCCAA